CTGTATTCTGTATTCTGTATTCTGTATTCTGTATTCTGTATTCTTTATTCTGTATTCTGTATTCTGTATTCTTTATTCTGTATTCCGTATTCTGTATTATGTATTTTGTATTCTGTATTCTGTATTCTTTATTCTGTATTCTTTATCTTGTGTACTATATACTAGTTCTACAGATTATATCAAGTGCTGGAAAGAATCCCATTAGTTAAAAATTTTTCATAGTGAACATCAAGCTCAAGCATTGTGGGTTAGTTTAAACAAATATTTTTTTCAAATTCTTTAAATTCGGCCTCTGGGGTCGGTTATGTTGTCAAAAACCAGTAAAATTAACTAATCTCTGATCTAGGGGTAAGATGCTATATTGTTAGTTTTGCCTCCGACTAACTTTATATAGAAAGTAGAAAGTCAGCAAAATTTACATTTTTATCAATTGAGTTTTGAATTTGCCTCTAGGAGTCTAGTTTAGAGAACTTCGTGGTTGATTGTATGGATATGTGAGTTTTCCACAAAATCAGATTTTATGATTCCTATATCTTTGCAACTTTAGAATAAAGTGAAAATCTTACAGTAAAATAAGTGCAATTTTATGTGTTCTTTACACCTTTTTATTTAATTTTGGAAAACATGTCAACTAACGGGAGACAATGTTGTCTTCCTTGTTATACTTGACACTTGTGACGTCATGGATAATTGGTTCATTTCTCTTTGCCATGCGTATTGTACTTGATAATCTATTTGGGTGAATATTTGATTATTACTTTAATTTTTTAATAATCAAAGTTTGCAACGTTGAAGGCCTTCCATTGCACGAATTTAAAGGTTTAAAAGTAATTATAGTTCTATTTACAGTTTCAAACAGTAAATACTTTTCATTCTTTATAAAGGTGAGAAATGCCTCAAATGTCTAAGCTTGATGAATAAATAAGGAAAGAGGGAGAAAAGAAAAGTTTAAAGTTTCAAAACATGGGATTTAGAGGTTGGGTGTCAAATTGCCCCCTCCCCAGCATATCCTGGTTTTCAAGTACCCCAGCAGAGAAAGGGTTAAGCATATGTAAAAAATATGTCACCATATTTTACATAAAGTTGAACATTGCAAACAAGCCAGAAGGAGAAGGTTAAGTTTATTTGACATCACTGGTACGACTTTGTGACCTCGTAGCTCCTCAAGTTTGGATTTTACGCACACAAATGAGAAAGGCCAATTTATTCAATGACATATTAAAAGTTTAAAATATTTTAATTCCTCTCAATAGCCCTTAAAAAAGAGGAGATTTAAGTAGTCAATCTTTTGCGCAATTTACTTAAATGCATTAAAAATTACCTGCATTAAAAAGTTCCCTGTAATAGAGAATCATAATGTCGTTAAGCTATATATATAGATATGATTTGCGTATCTGGGTGTCTGTTTGTCTGCTTGTATCCGATAAATGTCAAAACTGCTAAATTGATCCGGCCCAAATTTTGTGTGGGTCCCCAGGGAAGGTTTATGGATGGTCAGATCTGGATGCATTTCAAATATTTCGATTTTTTAAATCAACAAATCCGCGAATTCGCGAATTTTGCTGTTGTAATTGTTTGAAAATTTATAAAATTTATGTAGAAACTTTTAAAGATTGTTCATCAGACCTCAACTTCTTTATTACACTGTACAGAAGGATTAACGGAAAATGGGTGAAATTGAGCCTTTGCCTCAAACTCTGATTGTATTATCCCTATATCTCTAGGTTTCAAATTATATATTCTGTAATTCTGTAAATAATCTAGGTCTGAAATGTAAAAGGTTTACAATATAATGTTGCACAGATACAAAATTTACAAAGTTAGCAAGCATTATTTCAGATTATTAGAGAAATAAAAAAATTTCTTCTTTAGACTTTTTTATTCAATAGTTTCGTTGTCGTGTTCCATAATTTTATACTTATATTTAATTTCTAAAAAACCATTTTTATTTAGTCAGAAAAGTGCTCTAATTCTTATATCTATGCAACCTGATGTAAATCTCTGATATTCAAACTTGCAAAAATATTGGGATCAGAAAACCAGAGTTTGTTGGAAGAACCGTTACAGTTAAATCCAGACTTAGAACTGATTGCTATCAGTCTGTAATCTCTTTTTTCAGCTTTGATATTTCACCTTTGATATTTACACCTTTGATATTTCAAAATATAAATTCTGTTAAACAAAATAGTCTTTGTCTGAAATAAAAAAGTTTACACTATCAGAATGCAAAGATTTAGGGATAGACAATTTTAGTTTATGAGAAGAACTCAGCTCCTTTGAAGTGACATTTAATATATTAACGATATAGCGAAGACGACATTATTTTTCTGCTGTAAAATTCATAGATTCTTCGAGAGAGAAATATAATTTTGCACAGGGAGTCCCAATATACATGGGAATTGAGAGACGAATTGAATATCGTCTTTGATTTTCGATAATTGATTAATGACATAAAGTGCATCAAATAATGAGCTTTTCAAAATGTGATCTACCTGTTTTTTATCTATAAAATAAACTGAGATATTTTACATTTGAACAGTTTTGTCTATTTTTAATTAACTGGATCTGGACATATTTCCTAATATCTCCGTCAATTTTGAACGTGAAAGAGTAGGTAAAGAGGGGTAAAGGTGGAACCCATTTTGGAAATCCCAAGACTAGTAGTTTTCGCTATTAAATGTTTTAACTGTGATACTACACAATTATATTTACGAAATATAATACCGCTTGAACCAAAGACGATATAGAAGTCGTCATTTAAATCCCATGTTTATTGGGACACCTTGTACGACATATATATTATTTTGGGACACCCTGTACAACATATATATTATATTGGGACACCCTGTACAACATATATATTATATCGGGACACCCTGTACAATTCAAGCTGAATTAAAACTTTGATATTTGATGTAAAAAATTGCAGATTTGATCAAGGGAAGGACGGAAAGTTAATATTAATTTTTACAAAGGAATTGAGTTTTTGCCACAAACTATGATTTCATAATCCATATACCTTTGCATCCCTTCGTCGTAGACCTTCAACATTTCAAACTATGAAATCTGTTACATCAAATAATCTATGCTTGAAATATCAAAGGTTTACACCATTTGGTTGTGAAGATATAGAGATTAGAAAATCAGAGTTTGTGTCAAACACTCAATTCCTTTATTTCTTCTTTTCTTCAACATTAATTTTTCGGCCTATATTCTATTATTCTACGAGGTGTGATCAAGAAGTTTCGCTAAAATCTTCCTAGTTGTACTTCTCGAAGTCTCAGCTCTAAAGATTTTTTTTATAAGTTCACTTTATTTGAACCGGATACATTTTTGGACAGGTTGGCGTCAAGCAGATTGTTGTTGTGATGTAAGGAGTGTTCTCCTGAAGGTATGATTAGCTTCGTTGTCACAGCATAGGAATATCTAGAATATTAACCAGAGAAAGGAAACACTTTGGAGGCTTGGTTACCCAAAAATGTTTTTATGGAATAACCAAGCCGAACCCTTAAACATGATCCAGGATCAATTTAAAACGATTTTATAAACTGTAATGGAGGTTTAATGAAGGTTTAATGGAGGTTTAATGGAGGTTTAATGGAGGTTTAATGGAGGTTTAATGGAGGTTCAATGGAGGTTTATTGAAGGTTTAATGTAGGTTTATTGAGGTTAAGAAGGAAAAAATAGTATTTGAAGGATTATGGCGCATGTCCGGCGAAAAAAATACCATCCAGAACCTAAAAAAAGTTTTAAATGTTGCAAATTGTTCAAACCAGTAGCAAGGATTCAACATGAATGTTTGTGAGACAGCTTGATATATGCCTTTACATAGTAAACGAAGTTGTAAAGAAAGATTTAAAAATGACAAAGATCTGTGTTAAAGGAACTGAGTTTTTGAGTTTCAAAAAATCTTATCCCATTATCTTGGCAACCTATAGACCTTGGATATTCAAAAATATAAATTCTGTTAGATCAAATAATTTAAGTTTGAAATAGTTGCAGTGATATAGAAATTAGAAAATTTGAGGTTGTGGCAAAAACTCAATTCCTTTGTCCCAAAGTCTCTGTCATAGGACCAAAGGGATGACATTGATTATGGATCTCAAATGTGAATCAAAACCTGAAAAATCCTCAAAAGTCCATCAAACATTTAATACTCAATCTCTTTTTTTCTTTTGATTGCTCTTAAAGAGTCTAAAACAGACTGGTGGATTAAGTTTGAGACCATTCGGAAATTTGTCTCGGTTTGACAAACGAAGCTGATTACATTAGAACACAAATCAGATTGACAACAACTGATCTAAAAAGTAATCGAGTGAACTTACAAAAAAAATTAGCCTATATTCATTTATCCTTCATACATTTATCCTATATTTATTTATCCTTCATTCATTTATCCTATATTCATTTATTCTATATTCATTTATTCTATATTCTTTTATCCTATATTCATTTATCCTATATTCATTTATCATATATTCATTTATCCTATATTCATTTATTATATATATTCATTTATCCTATATTCATTTACCCTATATTCATTTATCTTATATTCATTTATCATATATTCATTTATCTTATATTCATTTACCCTATATTCATTTATCTTATATCTATTTTTTATCTTATATTAATTTATCGTATGTTCATTCATCCTATATTCATCCTATATTCATTTATCCTATATTCATTTATCTTATATCCATTTATCCTATATTCATTTATCCTGTATTCATTTACCCTATATTCATATATCCCATATTCATTTAGCCTATATTCATTTATCCTATATTCATTTATCCTATATTCATTTATCCTTTTCATTTATCTTATATCCATTTATCCTATATTCATTTAGCCTGGACTTGTTTATATTTTTGCAACAAGCCAAAAAGCAAAATATTAAATTTTTTGAAGGAATTTGAACCTCTCAGTAGGAATGGTTCTTGCAGATCTTTTCCTAGACCCTCAAATTCTAATCCTACCGGTTCTAATCCTACTGGTTCTAATCCTCCCAGTTCTAATCCTTCTGGTTCTAATCCTGTTGTGTTTAATCCTCTTGGTTCTAATCCTCCTGGAGGTTCTCAGCATAGGGTTCAGCTGGAGAACCAATTTCCAGGTTCAGGGTTCAACACACCCAACAATCAGGGTAGGACGGATAGCAGGTTGAATAAGGAACCAAGATCCTTCAAGTCAGGACAAACAGGAGATTCAAGACACCTCTTTGATCCTGGTTCAGATCTGGAGAGAAGAGATGATTTACAGGATAAAAACGGAGCACAAACAGAGCACATAAATAGGTAAATAAATTAAATAATTGTTGGAGGACATAATTGACGAATAGCGGGTTCCTTTTTTATATATATCGTTCGTTCCTCAATCAGGTTACAAAGATATAGGGGTTAGAAAATGTAAGTTTGTTACAAAAACTAAATTCCTTTGCAAAAAAATTATTTAAATGTGCAGACCGCAGATACTTCAGATATTTCAGATTTTAAGTCAACATTTTCTATAAAATGATTCTAAATTCTAAAGTAATAGTCAATGTCATTACAATTAGATGTTTTTTTTTTAATAGAAAAAAAGAGTATGGACAATGAAAAATACATTTTTACTTCTAAATAATGTCATTTCCATATTAGATTTATTTAAGATATTAACATACTACACTGACGACAAGAAAATTTTAGAAATTAGAAATAAGAATTGAAACAAAGACAATATTTTTTCAAAGTTTTGCAGAGTAGCTTTTCTAAAGATTTGAAAAAGTTACATCTTTTTCCTCTTAGAGTAAAACTATTGATTTGCATCTAACTTAAAATAAATTCAGATGTTTACAGATCTTTGTAGTTAATGTCAAATGAATGACTATAATGAAGGATATAAAACATGGTGAAAGCTGAAAGGTATGAAATGAAGCCTTTATTTAATGGAGTTTGTAAATGCCAGAAATGAGTGGAAAATGCAAATCAATTTGATATACATCATGATATTTCTCTAGGGGGGTGGGGGGATAAAAAATTTTACCGCCCCCCCTACATAATCCTTATTCACGCCCCCTGAACCACAAGAAAATAAACAAACAAAAAGTTCATTTAGAATATTTTGAATGGTCGTTCTTGTTTACCAATTCCTAACCTGGAACAGAAAAGGAAAAAACGATTCTGTATTTCTACTGAACAAAACCGGACTTTTTAAAATGTAGAGTCAAATGACCCTTCTACGTTAGAACAGAACCGTTCCTCCCTTTTTAAATAATGTTAACCACCGTTCTTCATGCAGTATATCTTGTACTGTATGTAAACATACGCTGAACTTTCTTATAAAGAAATAACCTGCACCTTCTTAAATCAGAGATACGTATCAGAAAGTCCGGTAATGGCGGGCGGAAATACAGTAAAAAAAGTTAAATCATTTTTTTCTGATTCAGATCTTTAAGCTCTACTCCTGGATTAAGACAAGCTGGACTCTATGCAGAAACTCCTAATATAGGTATTATGGCATGAACAGAATAGACGGGAAATAAGCCTATCCCTCGGTATTTCTTCAGTCCTTTTGAGCCTGAAAAGGAGTTCAAAGTATACAAATCATGTAAATGTTCACAAACTCATACGAAGTACATCACAATTAGGGATGTTAAAGGGAGTGTTCGCGAAAAATGAAAGGGGGGTGTAGGCTTAATGCGAGAAAAAAGCGCTTTTGATCGCTACTAATCTTACTTCTATCTGTTGCGTCTATAAGGAGAAAATTGTTAAAAACGACTAATACCGAAGAACGTAGTGTCCATACAAATTCAGAAAGATGCAACATCAACCTAGACCGTAAAAAAATTTATTTAATTACAAACAAATCATTCAGATATTACAACCTATAGTCATCGATTATCTTTCGCCACACTTGTATATAGTTGATTTTTCATAATATGTTTTAATTGTTATGATCTGAGAGTTACCTATAAAAACATTTATTCCTGTTTCGAGGATTTTTGGTAATGAAGACGACATTTTCATATTTTCCAGGAATGTTCGAAAAAAAGTTGGAAGCTAAATGTTATTTTAAAAAATAAAATCAAAAGTCGTATGTTGCATCTTTCTGAACTTGTATGGATACTACGTTCTTCTGTATTAGTCGTTGTATTGTGGATATCGAGATTTGAAGGGTGTCGTCTGTTAAAACCAAATAGCCAATCAGAAGACAGGGAATTTTGTATGCAAACAATAAGCGAATAGAGAAACTGTGATAATCAAAAATCAAAAAATGAAGCAAATTCTGCGTAGAATCAAAAGTGCCCACAATTGATATTGAGATTATGAGTGTGTAACACAAAAGTTCTCAGCTCTGGACATCGTTCTTGGCTAAAAGCGCTAGTCGCTGAGCTTTGAACATAATATATATATTGAAACAAACTCATCACACAAACTCTAACAATAACATTCATACATACAATATCATTTAAATTCTGGATAACAGTCTTTTTTTTATTTTTCCAGTGCGAGGAGGAGTTTTCAAATCATCTTTGAAGAAGAAGGAACAGAATTTTACCAACCAATCAAACAACAGGTTTATTTCAAATTTCTAAACATAGGCGGAGATTAAATTTGGAGAGGGAGATAGGGAGATTTGATTAGGGTATGGAGATAAAGATCGGATATTGCATTAGGAGATGAGAAATATTATACAGGGGGAGGCAAGGTTATTATGCAAGGAAAATTAATTGCATAATTGCGTATACTCTGCGTACATATTGAAACCAGTTCTCTATATAAAGCACTTTGTTTTTTAGCTTTTGTCTTTAAGAAGTAATTGTTATAATTCTCATCGAATTTTGCGCTAGAGGAGTTTGCAACCTTTAAATCGCAGTGCATCACTGTAATCTTGCCAAGCTACATTTATTGCATAACACATGGTGGGTCAACTCTAAACTGGATAGTTTAACTGGACAGTACGACGGGCTGCATATATGTACACTGTACAGTACGTGTTGTACCGGCACGAATCTTGCAACTTTTAGACTGAGCTGGGTTGTGAAGATACTTTATTAAATGTGATAGAAACAGATACTTTACAGGGGGAGGGATGATGAAATACAAGAGGAAGCCGATGGGAGATAAAATTTTGAGAGGGAGATAACATATTGAGAGGGAGATAAAATTTTGAGAGGGAGATAACATTTTGAGATGGAGATAACATGATGAGTGATATAGANAACATATTGAGAGGGAGATACCATATTGAGAGGGAGATCACATAAAAAGAGGGTAATTGAATTTTGAGATGGAGATTAAAAAGTGAGATTTTGAAAAAAAAGTAGTAGAGGCCAGAGGAAGATTGAATGTTAGGAAGGGAGATTGAAAGTTGAAAGGGAGATTACAAAGTGAGATCTGTATACCCAATGAAACTGAGTTCATATGGAATCACCGAATTTGATGTTTTCTAGAGTTAATTTTTTAAATAGTTTTAACCTTCCATGTTTTAAATAGTGCAATTTGCTGAACGATAATGTTTTAAAGGTAAATATATTAAAAATGGATTTTAAAATCCTAAACTAGAGTTTTGTAAAAGACCTTTGATTTCAAATTTTAAATTAAATTACATTTTTGATTTTGATTCCGTTCCTTGAAGTTCAGAGACATATACAAATATATAACTAGGATGTGAACCATTAAAGGGAATGGCCGTCGGGAAAAATAAAAGAGCGAAGGAATTTTCCAAAAGATTTGGGAAAAAACGATCGGTTTTTTTTACTGAACGAACCATTTTTTAAAACAAATTTTTGAAACTTTACTTAACGAACGATTTTATTGAACAATCGGTTTTACTGAACGATCGTTCAGTGAGAAAACGAACGAAATAGCTAGAAAATGACCGATAATTTTAAGAAAAAACGAAATCATTTTTTTTTTATAGAAAAAACGAACAAATCAAGTTGTAAACGAACGATAAACGAAAGAAATAAAAAAGTCAAATGTGCCCATCTCTATTTGTTTGGTCTTAATCTCAATTTTCTATTTGAATCGGAATGTTCGAAAACAAGT